CATATGTTACAAATACTCAATCGAAAATAACTATAAAAAGATCAAATTACCAGAAAAATAAGTAGACTGGTTGAAGGTATTCTCAGTGGCGGCAGTGTTCAGCACTAACTCTCATTTTGCCAGTTCACTTCTTTGCTTTTAACCTTTTAACCATACATTGCACACTTCACATGATAGTCTTTATTCGATTTTCTGTCCCCATTCCCTTTAACTGCTCTTTATTGCATAATTTTGTAAGAGCACCTATCTTACAACTTCTCATTTTTCTTTTTTCCAAAGCTCCTTCCCTTGTGTAGTCCCTGTCTTGTTCCTTGAACCCTACCGATGATGCCTCGGGGCTAACGAGACAGTGATGATCCGTCTGGGTTAAGAGGCCAAATGGACCGTGTAATTTGGATTTCTTTCCCAAATATTTTTCTTTGTTTCTAACCGTACTAACGCCATGAATAAGCTGTGTTCTGACCTTGATCCTTTCGCGGCACTTTGTCCGATGCTGCCGATTGTTGCCTCCAATGTGGCGCAACGGTGCTTCAGTCCTCGCTATCATAGTCCTCGGTTCTCTTCTTTTCTGTGAATCATTTTCTGTTATATGCTCAGAATCTTTGCACTGAATGCTTTTTCCCCACCTACCATTCACTATGTCTGTCATTTTTTTCTTCCTCAACATCGAGTGCCCCCGGCGTGTCTGGAGCGCGTGCGTCCGCTGCACCCCTCCTAGCACCGTGCAAACTTCTCTAATATTAGTCTCAAATATATCACGTATATATACCATTTTCACTCTGAATTCACCCCTTTTCAAACCAAATACACCACTTCTCAAATCAAGTTAACCACACTTATGAGGCCGGGCAACTCATTAACCAGCTAACGCCGGACAGCACTGCGAGCTCTGCCTCGACGGCTACGCCTACTTGTCAGCGCGGACATAGATTTTCAAATCTTATTTCATAACTTCTGCTTATGTGACTTTTCTTGTGGTTTGCTGTTTCCCACAAACACTTTGACTGCAAACGACCGGGCATTGACACATGGCCGACTTCGCCCATTCTCTAAAGGTTTGGCAACCTGGGCTCCTCCCCCTTGACCACGTCCAATTGCTTTTCGCGGAATTTTGATATTGTTTCGAATTTTCTGCATTTTAGGGCTGCTGCGCGAAGCCCCGCCTACTGTGAGAGGCTCCGCCCACTTTGAAGAAATTCCGAGCACTTTTCAGAAATGATGCAAATCGGCACTATAGAGTCTCGGCTGGCATATCAGGGTATTGCTGATCGAACAAACTTTGCATGGTTTTCTTGTTCGAGTGGCGAACGAGACCCTAGCATGAAAGCCTAGACCCTATGCTGCCGGTTTGCACTATTTTTAAAAAGTGGACGGGCTTCCTCAAGGTGGGCGAAGCCTGTCACAGTGGGCGGGGCTTCACGCAGCAGCCCTAAAATGCAAAAATTTTGAAGAAAATATCGAAATTCCGCGATAATCAAGTGGCGTGGTCAAGGGGCGGAGTCCAGATTGCCAAACCCTTTAGAGGATGGGCGGAGTCGGCCATGTAATGCCCGGTCGTTTTTAATCAAAGTGTTGTAGGAAAAAGCAAAAGCAGAAGTTATTAAACAAGATTTGAAAATTTATGTCCGCGCTGACAAGTAAGCGTGAAGAAGTGAGGGTGAATTTGATTTGAAAAGGGGTGAATTTGGTTCGAAAGAGGTGAATTCAAAGTGAAAAGCGTATATCTGCTATCAGCTTTGCATCTTTTTCTGTACTATTAAGATATTCGTATTGAACATATAGCGTTTCAATACTTTTATCTCGAAGAGCCCGAACTAGTTCTCGACCGAGCTGCTTGTGCCGCACCAAATTTACTCCCAGCTTTCCCAATGACTTTCTTCATTATTGGCCTCCTTTTTCGTTACTTGAAACAAATTCTCCTTCTATTGCCCGCAACCCTCGCCTCATCTTGTTCTCCTGCCCTATCTAGGTGTTCTAAGTAATTGTTTATGTTGTTATTGTTATTAATGTTGTTGTTGTTTTTGTTATTGTTCAATAATTCGCACTACCGTCCAGCTCGCTCACACCACCGAGAGTTTCTGTTTATTCCTACTGACCTGAGACTAGCTTTTTCACCATTATTCTGCGCCATTGCAGCTTCCACTGATGCTTCCACAAGCATTCCCTTGAGACAGCTTTTATGAGTGTCTAATTCCATCCTTCGAATCTATTAGTCTGTCACGATGAACGAAAATAATCGCTGATAGTGATATACAGCGGCAGCAGAAATCACAGTTCCCTCATCCCGCGCTTCCTTCCTGCCTTCAGACGTCCTACGTTGTTATAACGTTTGTTTAAAACTGCATAGACGAAGTTGTTATGGACATTTATCGGCTGACGTTTCGGCGGTTTCACCTTCTTCGGAGCCTGAAAGGGTCAAGCCGAAGATCACCGACTCAGCATCAAACGCATTCCCTACCCTTTCGACCCCACTAAGTCCAGCACGTAATACGAGTGAAACAGCTAACATACCTCAGCCGGATTCACCAGATCAAACGACGAACCTCGGTGAAGGAAGTTTTCGAACTGAAACTATCCAGAGCCATTATATGCTAATCTTATATAGGGAGATAGCTCTCGCGTGATTGATAAGCATTCTCCCCTTCGGTTCATTCTTGGATTTCTGACCTGAATCAGAATGCTTCAAGAGTTTTTCGCGCTGAAAGTTGGTCTTCGTGCTCTAAAACCTCTACCGTGACTCCAAAATCGTGTTGTGGTCTTGTACCCTGTGACATCCTAATGGGGTGATACACGCAGTCTAGACTTTCCATCCAGATGCTCTTTGATCCGCACATGGAGTTACCTAGCCGTTTCACCGATGTATTCATCTAAACAAGATAAACAGGAGATCTTGTAGACCACACCTGTGACTATGCAGTCTCCTTCCCTGCCAGCAGGGCAAACTACACAATCAGGGGTTACACATGTGCGATCGTAGAGGCGGTTTCGAACTAGGCGACGTTTTAGGTTATAGGAGGAACCTCTACTAAACCAACAATTTTCTGTAGACCCGATCTCCTCAGGCACTTCTTTATGGAATTGCTTACTTCATCCAAGATGAAAGGTAACATGAATGGTATTTTGTTCATCAATGGATTACCTGGTCTATTCGCAGCAACATCTGCTCTAGCTCTACGCATAGCCGAGGGGAGGTGGTAGCCTCTGCTCAGCAATCTCACGTGCCATTTTTAGTAAGTCTTTTCTTTCACACGCTCCCGTACAGACTTTTGCGGCGGTCTGGAACATATTCCTGACAATAGCCCGCTTAGTCTGAAGGGCTGATCGAAAATGGACGATCATGTTTTTGTTGCTGGGTTTTCTATACCACCTGGTCAGATAAGTGGACCCCTCAAGTTTAATCTGGACATTGAGAAACGGGAACCAGTCATTGACCGGCTTCTCACGCGTTAGACTTAGATGTTTGGACTGCTCGTTCATTAGGATGAGATAGTTGTCCATTTCCTCTTGTGTGGAACAGATTACGAAACAGTCATCAATGTATCGGCAATAAAGCAATGGAACTTGATCTAAGACGGGCGCTTCGATTTTAGCCATGAAAGCAATGGCTAAAGTGGGCGCCAACCAGTTGTCCCATAGCTAAGCCCCTAATCTGCTCGAAGTACATTCCAAACCGTCTGGAGATGTACAGCTGAGACATTCTTTCAGCAGCATCATTATTTGATCTACGGAAAGCCTATGCATATTAACCATCACGGTGCTGGTTGAGGAGCTCGAAATGGGCTTCCATAGCAGCACTGTTACTGACATTCGTGTCGAGGGCTTCTACTTCAAAGGACTCCATGACGTTGGAGCTGTTTGGATGTGCTCTAGCGAGGTGGTTCAGGAACATCTGAGTGTTGGAGAGGTGTGACAGTAGGTATCGAAGCAACTGTGTCAGAGTAGTGTTGAGGAACTACGCGATCCTCTGTAGGTCCTCCTACACAGGTGATGATTGGTCTAACCTTAACAGTCGCAGGACCAACTGTGGTCAGGTCTTCCGCGGCCGAGAACTTGTGTGTTCTTATGAGCAGATATAGAACAGGACAACAAGGTTCATCAAGCTTGAGGCGTTTAATCAAGTAGAGCCAACTCCTGCTGATTTTGCCACCGTCACCCATGCCCGATCCAGCTTGCGAGATTGCGATTGGAATTCTTTAGCTGAACATGGTCGGTAGATTGAGGAATCTCCAAGATGTCGCATTGTTATTTCGTGGTCAAGCTGGCGAGGAATTACCACAAACTCTTCTCCCCTATCGCTGGCGGATGACCCCCGTCAGCGATAAGGGAGGAGAGTTCGTGGTCTGACAGTCTGGGATTTGTCGAAGTCTCGAAGCTCACTGAGTCCAGATATCTGCGTACGTGAGAGGTTACAAGGCGTGTGGTGGCTCTGGTACCAACTGAACACCCTGAACACTTCATCAGCAAAGATTTTGAAACTGATATCTGAAGCAACATCAGGGTCTTGTTGCTTGAAGTGTATATTGGGAAAGGGTCTTTTCAGTGCTGCCCTCGTCTGACCAGACACTGAAACACCCCTGTCAACCTTGGCTTTATAGCGGAGGTGATCTTGGAGTTCATGTAGGCTACATATCACCTTGCGCATCACAACAATGGAAATGGGTTGTGTTGGTGAAGAACTGGGGCCCATTTCCAAGTCTTACGTTGTGTCTCTCCGGCCAATGACACTCTCTTCCTTGGTTATCAGTTATCGAACCTCCTTTCTTCATTCTATTTCGGCGCGAATCCTACCAATAGTAGTAAATATGTGTTAGGCTAAGAACAACCGATCAAACCACATAGTCGGAATTTTTCATTACTTCCTTTCGAAGCTCGTGGATAGTTCAGTCACAAGATCCTTATTTTTCCATTTGCTATGTTTCTGTTCAGGCGAGGTGAAATTTGAAAAGGATGAAGGTCTACCTCGCACTGTTCTTCATGTCGATAACTCACTTCCACTCTACATGTATTTTGACCTTTATGGGTCGACGCAGGCAATCAAATTGCGTGGTAAGAAGTTTTATCTGTTCCCACACATACACTTAAAGACAGTTCCCGCGATTAAGTGTCATGGATAGTTGTTGTTCAATTATGAAACAGTAGCTGATAAGTAATTCCCCAAAGAAAAAAAAACAAGAAGAGTCCTCAAGAACACCAGAAACAAAATCGCTCCCCGACAGTCACACGGCGCTGCGGTCTCTATGCAACCCCTGGCTCACAAATCGTTTTTCCTATCTCCCAGTAGTAGATACCATCCAGTACAAAGTACAACAAAGAAGGGTATAAAACAATAAAAAGGACAAAAAATTCTTGACAAAACGAAACTTTCCAAAAGTCGGCGTTCGAAGTGAGGGTTACGGTATCTGGCATCTTTCAGTGGGTCGAGCTTTTGCTACCACAAAAACGGCACCTTTCGTGATTTTTATGCATTTTACCTAGCGAAATGGGTTGTAGTTGACTGTATGTGCTCTTAATGAATGAATATAATAAAGGAGAGCAGAATAAAGAAGGAAGCAGATATGGGCACGAACGCGGTCAGCAATAGGACATGCAATTCCGATTCCGATCCTCTCCAGCAAAGAACAACTGCGGCCCTCCGCGAGACGGCATCTAGCATGTGGGCGTCTAACTGAGCGGGCGTTAGGACTAGGAATTTTAGCGGCCTTAGCACGCTCCTCGCTCGAAGTGGAGTCGCGAGAGTGGACAGTCTCTTACTTTGGGGGAGGGGGGTGGACTACTTGCAGAAGGAAGGACGACCATGAATTAAATGAGCGCGGGGGCTGTCTTTAACATGTTTTCGTAGCATCCTTGTGTGTAGGGTTCATTTGTGTTTACTTGATTTTAAGGGACCGTTTCGGTATCTCGATCTCATTCGCCTCTGCCCAGAGGCGCATCTTCATCAACTTCTGCACCGAAACGGGTTGCTCTTCCACCTCTGCCAACTATAATTCGTAGGTAAATATGAAATGATCTTTGTTATATTTGGTGTAATCCGATTGCTGCTCACAGCCCCGCGTAATCGTTGACTATCTTTAGAGAACCCGCAGTTCTAAGCAGGCGTCGCCTTTTACTTACTTTCTTTACTTTACTTTTCCACTAAGTTCATATGCGTTTTGGAGCTTTGCGAGGAGATTTCTCGAATGAACTCACACGAAAATACGTCTGGGTGCTATGATAACCGTTTCCAGGGATGCTCAAAATGGCGCCTTTTTCGCAAATTATTTGGTGACGTAGGCCGCTTTCCTCATTTACTCATGATCGAAGTAGGCTTTTGAGCACCCTTCTTACTCTCTTCAAGTCCTTCTCTCTACGGCGTACTTTTCTTTCATTTTCAGTCACTTTCATAAATGTGTGCATAGCTTTATCATATAGCATCTTTCATGTTGAGGCATCAATTCTTCACCTGAAGGTATCTTTCCGTTTCATTTTGACCTCGACTGTCGTAGCAGTAATGAATGTGATCACTCAGACACGAGCAACACTGCAATAGTCGCTCTGGTAATAGGTGCTACTATTATGGTCCCTTTGATTGTCCCGGACACTTAAGTCTCTTCTTATCCGAGGCCGCAAGCATTCTATGCGCACACCCATTTCATAGTTTTCTGTGCAGACCTGCTTCATCGCGATATCGTTTGATGTTTGTTACATTATTGTATTAGAATGTGTCGAGAGTCTGGTCACCTCTGGTCAATTTATTTCAAAACTAATTGGCTTTACGATTCGAGACTATTCATCTAAGTATGCACCATTACTATCTGATACTCTCTGCTCTCTACCCATCCGGTCGCTAGGATAACGTCCCTCCTGAAGGAAGCTGGCTTTGATCAGAGGAATTTCAAAAGTCTCTTTGACTTTCTTTTTACTTTCGAATCTTTTCTAACTTTAATAGATCTTATGTTCCGGGATTTTGTTCCGCTGGCATGACTATTCGGCAAATAAAAAAAGTGATACCCTGATGCATGAGGGTCTTGTGAAAACACTGCATGGTGAAGTACCTCGCATCCAGACTCCCCCAAAAATTTCCGGGCATTTTTTTGCGACACAAGGTGAACCGTTAGGCTGCCTTCATACTTTGAGGCAGCGTCCACCAGCAATCAATGGGCACACCAGCCTCCGAGCTTCGGCGGCGTCAGCGACTACGAAAGTATATACAGCCCCGAAAAAAACCTGAGAAAAACTCGGTTTGTTCAGGCGGGAGCCGATCCGGGCCTTGAAGCCTAGGCCACGCCTGTGGTAAGTGGCGGCATTTGCCACTACACTATCTCCGCTTCACCAAAATTTTAATGTTAGGCTGGAAAGAAAGTCCTGTCAGTGTTTTTAGAAACTCAGCATTTGATTCTTGATGCCTGGGCATGACGCAACATGCTATGCTTGTAGAACACTCTCGAGGCTGCCCTGCAAGAGATATGCGAAGGCGCCTGCTCTCTCCTGGGTATAAGGACTCTGGGCTCTCCTCGGTAAGTTACGATGACAGATAAAACGCTGTGCATCCGAGTACCCTTTGTCAGTCTCCTCTTCTCCGCCCTCTTCAGAAGGAGTTTGTGGGAGATTGGTTAGTGGAGATGAGAGATGGGTCCTCTGTGATTTCAATGCACACTGTACCGTGGTACTTTTCCTTCCGGAAGACCCATATTAACAGGGCAAACACCGGGCATGCACTTCAAGAAGGTTCTCCTGCGCTGCTTCTGGGATGCAATGGGAATGCTGCACACGAGCTGCTCTTGTCAGTACACACTGTCACCGCTATGATTTATGCCGCTCAGCTTCAGAAACCTTTGGAAAGTGCTGGAGAAAAATGACCGAGACTAGCTTCGTAGCACCTCTTTTGTGAGGAGGCGGCCCTACTATGGGGATATCAAAAAATTTAGAAGCAAGGCTGGGGGACCATAGCCCGCCCACCATTTTCTCCTGACACAGACCCCTACGATTGCTACCTGTTCCTCCTTAACGCTTTCTTAGCTAAGAAAACTTTCAGCAAGTTTGATGACATCAGTCGAGTGGTCGCCGTTTTACTCGAATTGCAGCCTTCACACTTTTGGGAGAAAGGGATTGCTGAAGTGCTCATCAGGTGAAGCGCTGAAGTGGCTAATAACGGCTGTTATATTGTTGATTATTTCTGTTCTGTGTTTAGCTAGAAAATAACAAAGAAAAAAATCACAACAGTGACAAGATTCTCTTTCAAGCCTATATTATGGTGTTGGAACATTATATTCTTAGCTTCTGAGCCTAATTCTGGTGTGTAAAAAGAATTAGATAGCTTAGATCAGATGAAAATGCTTTTACCAGTTCGCATGCAAACAAAAAACACTAACTTGAAAAAACAACTTTTTTTCGTCAATTTTTTCAAAAATGGTCGTAAAGTGCAGCAGAAGTATAGTTCCACGGAGCCGAGGAACAGGCAATATGCACCGACAGTGACGGATTTGCTCTCTATATAGAGCCGCTTGAAAGCCACAGTGTGGGAATCCTTTGCTATGATGATCATCCACTTGCGCCACGTAACTCTTCATGGTAGAGCTCGGGCGGCTTCTCATCTGCATTCAGACAAAATTGACGATTGTGAGTCCGAGACCACCCATGTTTCATCTAAGGCCTGGGTGCGTTTTCACAACTGTGTGACATTTCATGCTGAGAACATTACTGCTAGAGGTATAGAATCGGTACTGCGTTCGTGCTTCTGCAAGAAAGTTAGGTACCCGTGCGCACACCCGCTTGACTATCCTCAATATCGGACATAACTCGGGCAGCAGTCGCAGCTGGGATGAGCTGCGCACTTTCCTCTTATGACGTCTGATTCGAAAAACCGGCGCCGATTTTCACCACTCAGGCTTCTTTTAAATTTCTCGAGAACTTTCTGGGGCTAGGTTCATCAGATTTCACAGATACACAGCTTGAGGTACTAGCTTCCAAATGGTATAGTAGCCCGCTGCTCTATCCCCTTTGCTTTTCTGCCATTTCTCTATATGTAGCGGCCAGTTTGAATGGTATGACCTAATATAAAGGGGGGGGGGGGCAAAAAAGTCACTAAATAAATTACACTTTATTGAAATCTCATCGGACATTTTTACCACCATATTAAAGAGCATATTAAATACTATAGTGACACTCCGCCACAGACTTCTGGACGAGCCTGAGATCAGCTAGATGGTTGAATTCTCCGCCACCGTAGACCACCCTATTAAACTCCGCCCGAACCGGGCAATTGAAGGGATGCTGGTCAGATGACCTACTTGGATATTCCTTCTTTTTTAGGTACCCAGCCCCCCCCCCGTTCTAAGTAGGCGGGATTTTCTCCAACGCCCTTCGATTCCATGTGGTGGCATCTAATGCTGTAGCACTACAAAGTTTGCAAGAAGGTACGGGCCAGGACATGTGAGGAGGATATTCTTCACGAGTTGCTCAGTGTAACCGCCAGCGTGGTGATAATGTGGTACAACAAGTATGCAGCATAAAAACAGAGAGGTGGTTCGTTTCGCCTCTAGAAAAATCAGAAAAAAATATATATGCTCCTTCTTGAGAGTAAGGCAGCAGCAGAATATCTATTGGAAGACAGTGGAATAACAACTAACAAAATGACCCGTTTATATACTGCTCTGCCTGGTCAAATGTCCCAGTCAAAACAGGTAGATCTATGACAAAGCCAAATCAAACAAACACAAACACCTACATGCAGAGCAGTATATAAACGGGTCATTTTGTTAGTTGTTATTCCACTGTCTTCCAATAGATATTCTGCTGCTGCCTTACTCTCAAGGACACAACAGCTGGCGATCAGGACAACGACTTCGAGGACCACACTGCCGCCGCAACGATGCCCGAGGACTTAAGGATCTCCTGCAGATGATGGCCGGCCTGCAGAAGTCCTCATGGACCTGCTCCAGAAGATGTCCACGCCCACAACCACGCCGCAGGAAACTGTCTTCGACCGTATGGCGAGGAGGATCGACAAGTTCACTTACGACGCCGACGAAGACGACTGCTTCAACATGTGCTTCAGCAGGCACAGAACGTATTTGAACTCGACTGCCAGGGCATGGATGAGAAAAAGACTCGTCTCTAATCTCTGCACTTGACGCTACAAGTCACGCACGATTCGTCCGCCACATTCTTCCCAAGAAGCCCGGAGACCTGATCTGGACCGAAACGCACGATGCTCTGAAGACGCTATTCGGAACTAAGAAAAGTCTCTTCCGCCGTCGCTTTCAGTGCTTCCGGATGAATTTTTCGCCGAACGAAGACAAGGATTAACTCACCATCACCTGATTACGTCCCTCCACCTTTTCTTAGGGGCCCTTTGAGGTTGCTTGCGTTGTGCTTCAAAATCCAGTGCCTTCCCTATCGGGTATTCCTCGGGCTTTCTCAGAATGTGCCGTTACCACATTAGTTGCTGCTCCCGTGACTTCTAGCTGAATTTGAGCTGTCTGTGTGACCGCTCTGACGTCTTCGTGTCTGACTCTGTGTCGTCGTGTCCAGCCGCAGGCCCATCTCAGCATCCCCATTTCAGATGAATGGAGCTGTTTTTCATGGTTCTTGCATATGTGCCAGCCCTGCTGGTTCTTACATATGGGCCAGCTCACCATTGCCCACCATTGTACACCTTGCCTTTGAGGGTCCGCATCGCCATCGCGAGGATACCGAGAGACTCCCTCCTCTTCATCCAAGCCGCACTTGTTGCAGCCTTTACTGCCTGGTCCACGCCACCATCATGGGCCATATCGCTTCCGAGGCAAGTTCTCTACCCTCTAGATGGGCTCTTTATGACTATCTTTGATGGGCTCGGTGCATTCCTCGGAGCTCAAAAAGTGGGCCTTCCTGACGTTTAACCTGAGGCCATTTTCGGCCAAAGTCTCCTGCCATTTTTGCACCTTCTCCTGGAATTCTTCTCTGCTCTCCGCTATCAGTGCAATGTTATCAGCGAAGGGGCTAAGGGCTAACCCTTGGTATTCCAACCCTTATGTCTATCTCACTTGTAAGGCTGTAGGGGGGGGGGTGCGTACAGCCGCCTTTGCTTCATCGTACATGTCCTGGGATGAGGTGCTCGGGAACGTTCCGTTCTCTGAGAGCTCTCCAGAGTACAGGTCGCGGTAAGCGATTGAAGGCCTTCACGAGGTCTCGCAAGGCTAGGTAGCAAGAACGACGAGGTGGCAAGGACTTTTCTCGGTGCTTCTTTATTACCTGTCTGGCGATGAAGATGGCATCCGTAGTGGGGCTCTCGGGATGCTCCTGCTTTCTTCACCATACCCCCCCCCCCCCTAGAAAGCAGTCGTCGGAAGTTTCTATAGGATGCCCTGTTTAGTACTGGGGACTTGCAGAGTGAACTATAGAAGGGGACCCTAACCGTTTGATACACAATATACCCATGTTCCCTGTTTCCTAGTCTGCTCCGGATGCGTTTTGAGGATTTTGATCCTCGGCTTTGTCCACTTCGGCCCACGCTCCCCCCCCCCATTGTGGGCGGAGCTTAGGTGAGCTTGTGTGTGCTCTGCAAATGCTGATCCGTGCCAGGTCTATTCCGTGCACAATCTGTACCCTTGAAGTGAATTCCCACGAAACCCCAGTTTCAGGCGGTCACACAGACATACACACACAACTTCTGGTTTATATATAGAGAGATTTTTTCGATACTTTCCGACAGTATGTAGCCTTTATAGTTTCTTGTTGTTGCGCGACCACTCGTCCACAATGAAATCGACCGCGTAGCATGCGCAGCTTCAGGAGGGAAGCTTCGTCGCTACTTGCCAGCTGAAAAGTTAACCTCAAAGTGGTAAGTAGATCGCCAGCCAGTGGTGGAATGAAGGCAATGTTGACATGAAGAAAAAGCACGGCCAACAATTGGTCAGAGCATTGAAGCCTCATTCACTTACTAAAAAGAGATTTGCCAGGAGTGACAAACTGGCCTCAGAGTCGATAGCAGAGAGTCTGAGGATCGTTCATGGGAGCATCTAAAATATATTGATCGGGTGCTAAGTGCTTTTTGGTTATTGGATGTACAAGGACTACATCTCGATCAAAGACCATGGGAAAGGGCCTACGATATATGTGTAATGAAGGGCTGGCGTGCGGCGAGTGGAGAATCCTTGCAGATAAATGAAGAATATCCCACTACTGAACGCAGCGACAGCGGTCAAACAAATGTAAGCTGATTAGGGTGACTCAAAGTAACCTTGGGAAGTGGAATTCCGCTACGGTTAAACTGTTTTCGAAGGCTGCTACTGTTTAGAACGGAATATCCTGCAGGTAATAAACCTCCCATTATCGTCAACGACAAAATGAAAACCGATGTTGAGGCCTATCAAAAAGGGGCTTCGAAGAGAGTTGAGGCCTAAAAGGGCGACCCCTAAATATGTTGTCTTCTCAACCCGGAACTGCGTTCATGAGGGAATATTGGCGATCGTGTACTATGGTTGCGATCTCAGACTCGTTCATCAGAGCCCATGGTGTTTCATCAGCACGGGTGGGCCTAGATCCTTCTCTAATTGTCCCATAAGAAGTTTCATAGAGGAGAGCTCGGGAGTCAGATGACCACCATCTTAGATACTCATTAACACGAACATATCAATGTCTGGTCCAATTCGGAATTGAACTACCTCTGCCGCACTACTGACTTAAGGAACGATTTGCATCCTGTATCAAAACTGATGACAGAGACCTCGAAAATTCTCTATAATCGTGGCATGCCCTTGTTTATACTTCCATAACAATTTCTTTCTTTTGAAGCGCGTAAGCAAACAAGCAGCGTTTTTTGTGGCGCAGTAGTTTTTCGCCACCCTATAGACCGTTCCCGGTATCTAGCATCTTCTTTTGAACTTCGATCAAAAGAGCCGAATCTCTTTTTACGAAGGTCCCTTTCCACATTTGCTGGCGGAGTTTCTCTTTAAAGGATCTAGTGGTGCTCACGTGTATAATTTAGGTGAGGCGTCTAGTTATCCTTGGCACTTTTTAGTTCTGCTAGTAAGTCGAATGCAGGGTCAGCGTGTGTCTTGGAATCGGCGGCGGGAGTCGTAACCTGTGACCTGTCCGTAGGGAGGACGGGGGGGGGACGTTGTGTATGCAGGTGTCAGTAATGAACAGAGCAGTGAAAACGTTAGTGAAACGCTGCCCTTGTTTTGTGCGGCGCCTTGGAGCGCGGTATCTACGTCGAGTTGGAAATTCATGATGGTTAATTTAGTGTGAATGAAACCATAATAAGCCACTGGTTACGTTTAACTAAATACGACAAATAACCAATGAGCTGGGTTAGAGTTTTTTGGTTTATATCAGATCTGCATTCCATAAAACCACGTTTCGAATGCTACTGCGATTCTGAATGAAAGACGAGTGCTTGGCGCATTCCATGGAAAGGTTGGTCAGCGCCTTTGTGCTGCAGTTCTTCTTCTATCACAATTTAAAAAAGGAGTATCGGAAGTCTCCCGAAGCGTCTGGAAGGGAGACGCTGTGGGCTGTGTACTTGAGGCATCCTATTATTGCAGCTGAAACAGACATTTAGAGCAGAATTTGCGACGGGCGAATTTTCGGTATAGTCAGCCTACAGCTCGGATTTTTTATCGTGGGAAGGCTTCTTAGTTTCAGATGGTGTGGAATCTGCATTCTAGATTTATTCTCAAAGGAGCTGTTCTCATCGAAATGTCGAAAACGTTCGCTAATAGCCCATTCTTTAACGAATTTCTGCGTTATGCTGATCACTACTCGATGAGGGAGTCTTCGCTCAACAGGCGTGGAACGAAACTGTTGTGGTGTTGGCGAGAGGGTACCTTCTAGTGTTCGAACCCGTGTAGCTCCTTATGATATGTCCCGTCTGAACGAGGTATCTTTAGTTTTAGTGGTCAAAAGCTCGCTTTTACCAAGAATTTTCACGTCAGTTCTGGACCGAGGTCACGTGAGCTATGGGACAGCTTTATTGTATTTTGGGTTGACCCTTCCGGCGGCGTCCTGCTTACGAGCAAGTTTGTTCAAAATGGTCTTTTGCATTTTGTAGGGGCTTGCACATAGATCACAAAATTGAGGTTCATTTGCGCTCCCTCACTCCCAAGAACGCCAAAAGAGGATGGAAATATACGTCTGTGTATCCTCACATAAGGGACGTTCAGCGCTATTCTGGCGCCAAATTGCTTCGGCGCCGAAAGTAAGTGCCAAAATCATGATCAGGACCATCGATTACTCCCATGGACGAACATTCACCAAAGAAAATTTCGATTTTTTCGGGCTGTGGTGGAGAAAATTTGGTCGGCGGTGGTCACATCTTCGTAAACACGATGACGACGACGTAGCAGGCCGCCGAGCAGGGCAGCCGATCGCAAGTTTGGTGCGCCCAAGCTCCTTTCATGCTTGACATAAAAGTGAGAGGTCCCGGCATTCGTGGAGAAGCATACTGGGTATTTCTCGATCCCTACCGCTCAATGAACATGTAGTTATTCCCTGCCGAGAGAAGAGAAACTGCACATTTAAGTTCCTCGAATTTTTTCAAAGTGAACTGGACGAATACTTACCTTTTCTCTTTTTTGCATGAGTTTCATCGATATTTTTATTTTTATGTTTGTATTTTAATAAAATGGGGGAATCCGTAAGGCACTGTAGAGTTCAGTAGGAAGGCTCCCGGGCACAACCCAGCACACACAAACCCAAGAACGTAAAATTTTGTTGGTCGAAATGTTATACACAGAGGTAGTCGATGGCCTAATCACGATTCTGACACTTGTTTTCGGCGCCGACGTAATCTGGCGCCTAACAAGGGAGGTCGTTCAGGCCGTGGTGAGCTTTTTCAAAACGGTTCGTTGCATCATGTAGGGTCTATGCGAGGACCACAACGATGGGGCTCATTTTTGCTAAACGGTTCTGGGAATGTCAAAAAAGGTCAAAAACACTTCGAAAAGAATGGGCTTTTTGAACCACCTTATTCGCCTCTGTTCTGGCTGTAGCGTTGACAGGGTATAGTATGTAGAGTATCCTTTGAGCAGGCATGAAAAACAGCGCAAAATAAGGTCAGTCCATGTGCAAGGCCCTACAAAATGCAAAAAACCATTTCGAGAAAGCGTCGCACTCCCTGAACGACCTCCCTTGTTAGATAAAATGCGGATTTTACCTCTCCTCTCCTCCAACTCGGCCCTTTATGAGCGAATAATACGCACTTGGGAACCCTTCCACTAGAACCTTCGAGGAAGCTTCGCAGAAATCAGGCGCGAACAGTTCAAAAAGAATGCAACATTCAGAAGCGCAAATGAATTAAATCTTATTTGTGTGTTGTTTGTCTTTGCAAGTAAAGAAAGCTATCTCATATAGAAAAGAGGTGATCAGTGGGTTGAGTAATTGAGCAAGTGGCTCAGAAATCTCCGCAGAGGTGATCCTAATCACTGAGAGGAATAAGAAGATCATACTTGAGAAGGGAAATGAGGGAGAGAGTCAGGGACGGTTTCTCAAGTTGGAGGAGACTTTGTTGTGCAGAATTCAAGCCTGCGAACATCTTCTAAATTATTAAATACACTTTAATGATTCCACAACTGATTCATATCCCTTTTTATTGAGTTTGATGTTCAAAACTGATAGCTGATTATCTATCGGTGTGATCGAATTTACCTTACTTTCCGGGGTGTAAGACGTATATATGCTTGCATGGTGGCAGCAACGTGATACTTACACTTACGGTTTCACTTACATTGACAAGAGCACGAGGAATTTTCCGAGGCCTGCGCGCTATACACGGGTGCGCCTCATATCCTAGAAAATATGGTCATTGTGTCAGAAGCGCCCAAATTGTGTCATTCAAAACCGAAGTAAAAACAAAACGAAAACTTCTTTCTGGATGTCACTATATGCAAGCAGTTTGTGGTTTTAGCCAGCGTAACTCTGTAATTCAGTTTCAAATGTCCCATCAAAATTTGTTCAGCAGTGTAGTCTAATAGAAGGAAGCGTTGTGATTTCCACGACAAAGTGCGATGCCTACATCTCGGTATCTAATACAATGAACGATTCAGGGACCCCTCGGCAGTGTCATCTTCACGTCATTCTCATCCTGAAGAATTGTCATCCAGTATTGTGCATGTGTTATGTAGGTTTTCTTAGTTCTCTTATAGTCATTTTTTACTGGCTGGCGCGGAGATAAAGACCAAAATACGGTTAAAGACACATAGTACGCTCATACACATTGGGGGTGTATGAGACTATCAGCCCCCCAGATGTCGATGTGTCGTGGTCCCCCCGCCCAAACATGCCCGGGAATGGAGATACAGGGCCGTGAAACACGCTAATTCTTCCATGCTCCGCCCGCTGCCTTTTTACGGCGCAGATTCCCGCCGTTCATAACATCCGTTGCAAGTGTGCCTGTCGCGTGCGGCTCCTTGGCACTTTGCCAAGTTCTTTAATTGCGCTCTCAAATAAAAGGAAAACGCAATTTCCTGATGCGGATAACATTGGAGGTGCTACAAAATAAGAGCAGAAGATGATGACAAGGGGCACAACTCAAGAGCAACTCGGCTGCATCTGCAGTATCCATCAAGGGCCGCGCATTCCCACAAAACATGAAAATAAAAACAGCCCAAGCGTCCCACTCGTTTGTTCTAAGTATTTCTATGGCTTTGGCGCCGGATCGTAGAAATTTACAGGCCAGTTTATCTAATTTGCCTTTCCTTGATTTTTTCATTTTTGTTTAGTTTACATTTACATCGTTGTGCTTCATTTCTAGCCTGTGTCATCTCCCTCTCTTGTACATGGATTTTGAAGCATGAGCAACACCTTAAATTTTTATTCGCATCAGGAAATTGCGTCTTGCTTGGTATTAAACTAACGAGTATGCCGTTTTAAGTTTTTATTTTCATGTTTCGTGGAAATACGTGGCCTCCGAGGGATGTTGCAGAAGTGCACAGTCGCTTTTAGGTTCTGACCCTCGTCATCATCTTCTGCTCTATTTTGTAGCACCTCCAATGTTATCCGCATCAGGAAATTGCGTTTTCCTTGTATTTGAGAGCGCAATTGAAGGACTGGCGAAAGTGCCAAGGAGCCGCACGGCGACAGGCGCGCTTGCAACGGATGTTATGAACGGCGGGAAACTGCGCCGTAAAAAGGCACTGGGCGGAGCATGGAGGTTTCACGGCCCTGTATCTCCATTCCTGGGCATGTTTGGGCGGGGGGACCACGACATATCGACATCTGGGGGGCTGATAGTCTCATACACCCTCAATGTGTATGAGCGTACTATGTGTCTTTAAGCAACCAAGTACCGAAAATCGTATCCAAGGCGTGAAAGCGATTTCGTAAGGTTCCAGAAGCTTCGTCGCTCCCCATTGTTTGGTCGCCTCTGCTACGTCCGAGTTTAAGTAGTTTATCAGTGCTGATGGCATAGTCTGCCCCTGGTTTTTCAAGCTGCTCACTTGATTCAAAATAAGGCTCTGGTGGATGCGGCGGGAAGAAAGAAAAAAGGGTGCAGAACTGCTTCAGCCGAAAACTGAATAATGTTGTTAGTTATCACGAGAATGCTAAGTTGTGGGCAAAAGTCGTGCCCCAGGCGGGAGTCGAACACGCACCTCACGCTTTCCGGGCGAGTGCGCTATCCGTTACGCCACCAGGGCCGCTTTTACCCTATCAGCTTAACGGCTTTTGTGCCGTAGCCATACAGCACTCACACATTTAACTTGATGAGCCGGTCAGCCATTATTGTTAGATATTTTATGATAACTGCTGTTTAACACCGCAGTACGCATCCGAATGTTATCACATTCACAAACTCACGCTTTCCGGGCGAGTGCGCTATCCGTTACGCCACCAGGGCCGCTTTCACCCTCTCAGCTTAACGGCTAGTTCATAACAAAACTGCTTCAAAAATGTTGTCAGTAGTGTTGAAGCTAGAGTCCTTTACAGTTGAATTATTAGAAAATTTATAGCGTTAAAGGTAAAACAGTCTCTCGGAACAGTGTTCTGTTCTGCGGACGGTAGTTCTGCTATTCAAGACAATTTCCGCGATCAAGTATTATGGGTAGTGGGTGATCAGTTATGAACCACTAGCCGATAAGTGGCTCCAGAAGAGAAAGAAACAGAAAAACCTTGAGAACACGCTGAACAGAAACCCTTACGCAAAGTCATACAGCTTCATGGAACGGGTTCTCCGGACGTACTGGCATATCTAAACCGTGCGACCTGTCTCAAGCACTGGTTCATAAATCAGTTCTTCGCATAATCCACCATAAATCCAAACATCCAACACAAAAAAAAATGAAAAAACATTAATAAACAGATAATTGCTTCCAAAAACACTGCGCGTGAATTTAGGACCGGTGAACCTTCAACAACGAGCTTCTCCCCCAAGGCGATCGCATTGCTGCTGAATTAAGCGGCGACGCACGAGCAATTATCCAGGGAGAACAACAGCGATGACGTTTCGACCGGAAAACCCAATAAGCAAACCCAAGAAGGTCAAAACAGTTGTTTTGACAGAAATTTCGTCTGAAGGGGCAATCAGCGGCCCTGATTACAAATATAACACCTATTCTTGGCGTCCACACAATTTGGCGCCAGAATAGCGCTGAGCGTTCCCTATATGGATGTACAGGAAGAATGCAGAAGTTAATACATTCGCGATCAGATCCACTGCCTAGCCCATGAAGACCAACGTTCAGCTACAATCTTGTTCAGTGGTGCGTGAAAATCGAAATAGTTGAACAGCACTGACTGTTGGGGTATACTACTCAGAAGGTGCCCATAAATGGCAAATATGCGAGTTATTAGGTTGTCCGGGAAGTTCTCAGCGTTTTGCGTGTTTCA